TTTTAATAACAGCTAAAGGTGACATAGATACTTTATTATGGTATAGTATTTAAATATATGCCTGAGAAACACATAATATTGGCCCTTTAAAGCTTACTGACATAAAAATACTTTAGTTTATCCTGTTGAACATCCTGTCAACTTCTGTGGAAATGTCATAGTTGCAATATTATCTGCCGCCATAACAGACAGGTGATCATAACTGCCTGTTTTTGTGCGCATGCCAGCAAAACATCACCTGAACAAGTGAACAGATTTTAATGAAACTCCCAGAAAGTCATCAGTGGATGTTCCTCTACGACTAGTTGAATTCAAGGTGTCCGCCACATCTAACAGGCGAATATGGCTTTATCTCTGACAATTTTACAGATACTGAACTAAAATTTGGTGTGGCAGTGGCAGGGAGCTTTTCTCAATATATACTCTGAGCACCAACAAATCACACACCTTTAAAACTTCTTTCAAGGAATGCTAGTTTCATTGTTTTACGAGATTATTGAACATAGACTTAAATGTAATTATTTTCCTGGTTTCTGTTCTTATTATTTGTGCTTTGCTGTACCAACTGATCATATTATCAGTACACTTACAATACATAAAAATACAGAGTTACTCAAATCTTTGTAAGATAGATAAGTGTTTAATATAAATTTATAATCCCAACAACCCAACGATGTCTCGCATCGATAAACTTTGTTATATAATCTTTAGATCGGTGAAAGAACAAGTCCTTCAGTCTCTTCTGTCTCTTTAATTATCAAACACATTTACAAACAACATAAAAAGTGGAGGAAAAACAATAATTTAAGCCAGTGATGGTCAGTCAGGTTCTACATCGTGAGGTGGTGGGCAGGTGAGAGGAGACAAATTTTATTCTCTGAGAGTAAATCAGGTCGGCCAGATAAAGTCCAAAGTTCACGCAGGAGAACACCGCCACCACCACTTGGCTGTCCCAGGGACACTTCCCCCGCGGACATGAGGACGGTCTCCATGGGGAGCCATATTTAGTGTCGAAGCAGAAAACGGGCCACACCACCGAAGCACTCAGGTAGAGCAGAACCTCCAGGAGCGTACACACCACCACGAAGCGATCAAAGGGCATGCAGCTCACGGTCTTGGTGCGTTTACACACCGTCATTCCCACCAGTAGGACCGTCAGGCCGAAGCAGAGACAATAGACGACAACGCAGTAAATGGTGGCGGCGTACTGGGAGTACTGACTTCCATTGGCCAGAGCTCCAAAGATGACGCAGGCGACGAAGGCCTGGACGACTTTGAGGAGGCCGGGGACGGTGGCCATGTAGCCCACCACGATCTGTCCTGGTCTGGCCCGACACAGGGCCACCTCAGCTCCATAGGCCAGCGTTCCCAGGATGGAGCAGACGGTGACGGCGATGCGGAAATCTCGTATGTCACAGCCAGCGTACGGACACTCGGCTCGGACAAAGAAGAGCGGGTAAACCACAGAGGCCGTCACATACCTGCAGGAGACAGTGGTGATGACATCATTCTGCTCAAGTGAGAAATCAGTAAAACAATACCCAAAGAGTTAATTCAGCTTATAAAAAGTCACCTGAGTTACAGTGATTCTACTGAAATTCTACCTACATTAACACTAAAAGGAAGTAAACTAACAGATAAAAAAAATGCAACAACAAACACATTCGCCAATGCCTTCAAAAAGAGGTTTGCATTGTACCTAGAGGTAAATTTTATTGGAGAGCTCAAATTGAAGACATAAACTGGAGAAGGGCCTGGCTCTTACCTTACAAATAATGTATGTCTAACAAAGCCAAAGAAGTACACTTTAAAATTGTACCCTGTGAACTGTATCATTGCTAAAGTCTCAGATGTTGCTGACTCCTGCACTTTCTGCAAAAAAGTTCCAGAAACAACCTCACATTTATTTTTCAGCTGTGACATAACAAAAAAAAAAAAAAATTGGAGCAACCACTTTATACAAGCAACTAAAACTGTATTCTCATTAAAACTCAAAGAAATTATTTGCTATTACAGTAATCCTGAAAACAGTAATTTTGAACACAAGCTTAATTTTGTTGTTATATATGCAAAATTGTTCATTCATAAGCAAAAGTTTGAAAAATCTGTACCTAATATAACTCGTTTTATATCAGAGCTAAAATCTCTGAATAAATCCCATAATTTAATTAACAATAAGAAGAGTAACAT